AAAAAAAAAAAAAATCTCTGTTCCTCTTGCTTATTCTCCATTCATGGCAAATGTTGAGCCTGGTGCCCTAGTGACACCAGGGAGACCAAAATTGCTTATTAAAAATCATTATATCCAGGCTGGGTGTGATGGCTGATGCCTGCAATCCTAGCACGTTGGGAGCCCAAGGTGGGAGGATCACTTGAGCCCAGGAATTCAAGATCAGCCTGGGTAACCAAACAAGACCCAGTCTCTACAAAATTTTAACAATTGGCTGGGTGGTGGTGCACACCTGTAGTCCCAGCTACTTGGGAGGCTGAGGCGGGAGGATTGCTTGAGTCCAGGAGGTTGAGGCTGTAGTGAAATATGATCATACCACTGTACCCCAGCCTGGGCAACAGAATAAGATTCTGTCTCAAAAATAATAATATATTCAGGCTGGGCGCAGTGGCTCACGCCTGTAATCCCTGCACTGTGGGTGGCTAAGGTGGGAGGATTGCTTGAGCCCAGGAGTTTAAGAGCAGCCTGGGCAACAGTGAGACCCCATGTAATTACAGGGAGTAATTGGGGCTCGTGCCTGTAATCCCAGCACTTTGGGAGGCCAAGGCAGGTGGATCACCTGAGGTCAAGAGTTCGAGACCAGCCTGACCAACATGGTGAAACTCCATCTCTACTAAAAATACAAAAATTAGCTGGGCCTGGTAGTGGGCACTTGTAATCCCAGCTACTCTGGAGGCTGAGGCAGGAGAATCGCTTGAACCCAGGAGGCGGAAGTTGCAGTGAGCCGAGATCGCGCCATTGCACTCCAGCCTGGGTGACAGAGCAAGACTCTGTCTCAAAAAAATAATAAAAGTAGGCCAGGCGCGGTGGCTCACGCCTGTAACCCCAGCACTTTGGGAGGCCGAGACGGGCAGATCACGAGGTCAGGAGATTGAGACCATCCTGGATAACACGGTGAAACCCCGTCTCTACTAAAAATACAAAATATTAGCCAGGCATGGTGGCGGGCGCCTGTAGTCCCAGCTACTTGGGAGGCTGAGGCGGGAGAATGGCGTGAGCCAGGGAGGCGGAGCCTGCAGTGAGCCGAGATCGCGCCACTGCACTCCAGCCTGGGCAACATAGTGAGACTCGGTCTCAAAAATATATATATGTATTAATAGTAATAAAAGTAAAAAAATAAAAGCAAAAATGAATGACGGTGATAGCCTAGGAGTTCTAACACTCAGGTGTACCTATGAGGTACTGTTTTGTTTGTTTTTTGAGACAGAGTCTCACCCTGTCACCCAGGCTGGAGTGCAGTGGCACAATCTCAGCTCACTGCAGTCTCTGCCTCCTGGGTTCAAGCAATTTTCCTGCCTCAGCCTCCTGAGTAGCTGGGATTACAGGTGCCTGCCACCACGCTCGGCTAGTTTTTGTATTTTTATTTTTTTATTTTTATTTAATTATTTATTTATTTATTTTTTACTTTTTGTATTTTTAGTAGAGATGGGGTTTCACCATGTTGGCCAGGCTGGTCTCAAACTCCTGAGCTCAATTGATCTGCCCGCCTCAGCCTCCCCAAAGTGTTGGGATTACAGGCATGAGCCACCACGCCCGGCCAAGGTGCTGTTTTAATTCAGTAAGTTCTCAACTGGGTGATTCTGCCTCCAGGGGGCACTGGGTGATGTCTGGAGATATCTGTAGTTGTCACAACTTGGGGAGACTCCTGGCATGGAGTAGGTGGAGGCCAGGGATGCTGCTCGGCACCCTGCAGTGCCCAGGATGGCCCCACCCCAGAGAACGATCCAACCCCAAATATCCGCAGGACTGAGATTGAGAAGCCCTGAAATTATATTATCAGAACCCGTCTCCCCACTAACTTTGGCTCAGGTGAGCACCTTGGGCTCTGTAGTTGGAGAGACCCAGATTCAAGTCCCAGCTTTGGCAAGTCACATGCCTTCTCTGAGCTAATATCCTTGTCTGGAAAATGCTGATTAAAACAGCTCCTCTTGCCGGGCGCGGTGGCTCACGCCTTTAATCCCAGCACTTTGGGAGGCGGAGGTGGGTGGATCACGAGGTCAGGAGTTCGAGACCAACCCGACCAACATGGTGAAACCCCATCTCTACTAAAAATACAAAAATTAAGGCCCAGCGCGGTGGCTCACACCTGTAATCCCAGCACTTTGGGAGGCTGAGGTGGGTAGATCACGAGGTCAGAAGATCGCCACCATCCTGGCTAACACGGTGAAACCCCATTTCTACTAAAAAATACAAAAAATTAGGCGGGCGTGGTGGCGGGTGCCTGTAGTCCCAGCTACTCGGGAGGCTGAGGTAGGAGAATGGGGTGAACCTGGGAGGCGGAGCTTGCAGTGAGCCGAGATCATCCCACTGCACTCCAGCCTGGGCGACACAGCAAGACTCTGTCTCAAAAAAAAAAAAAAAAAAATTAGCCGGGCATGGTGGTGGGCACTTGTCCCAGCTACTCGGGAGGCTGAGGCAGGAGAATCGCTTGAACCTGGGAGGTAGAGGTTGCAGTGAGCTGAGATCGTGCCACCACTGCACTCCAGCCTGGGTGAAAGAGCGAAACTGCATCTCAAAAAAATAAAACTAGAAGAAATAAAAGTGGTTACGCTGCTGCTGCTTTGGTTGCATCGTGCCAGACACAGCCCTGTGTAGACTGGAGCCTTACGTGATTAGAGTGAGGTAGCACTGCACCCATTTCACAGATGTGGAAATAGAGGCTCAGAGGGGAAGCTCTGCCTGGGATCCCCAGGCTGTCTGCCTTCCCTCAGGCCCACAGCAGCCCCCCAGATGGCAGGAGCTGAAATGTCCCAGGAGGGGGCACCCCCAGGGCTCCTGCCACATCAGACGCTGCCCTGCACGTGCCTCTCACCTTTTCCGAAGGTTGCAACTCCTTCTCCGTCCATGGGGCCGTCTGCTCTGGGTGGGCGGCCACTGTGGGGACAGGGACTGGTCAGGGAGGGCGAGGGGATGCAGGTTAGAACCAGCTACCCGGCTGCCCATTGTGCAATAGCCAGGCACGGCCTGAAAGGTCAGGAATGTTTCAGCTACCCCGCCAGGGACAGCAGGAGGTGACATCCACGGCTACCAACCAGAACTGGTCTCCCCCCAACCGTGCTGGGGGCTCCCCCCAAGCCTAGGGCCGCTGTTCCCCGAAGCAGGGTTCCATGGTACTTCCTCTGCTGGGTGCTGGACACCCACCCTGAGTCCCGGGATTCACAGAGCCTGGGGTTGGGGAGCAGCCCCTTGCCCAACCCACCCCGCCCCCGCTGCAGCTGCCTGCTGCCTGTCGCCAGGCCAAGGTATGTGGAGCAGAAGTCAGCTGCCTGGGGCTCTGGGCCCAGAGGGAGGCCCAGCTCAGGCGGCCCCCCCATCCCTGGGTTCCCTATCATTGTCCCTGATTGCTCAAGCTGAGCCACAGGAGGCTGGGGAGCTCCCGGGCTGTGTGACCCCAGGGGAGCTGCTGCTTCTGCCTGGGAGTCCGGATCTCACTCTGATGAGCTCAGAGGGGCAGTGCACCCAGCCTGGCCCACGGTGCATCAGAAACGGGGTGCAGGGTGGGGGAACGGCCGAGGGACTGAGTGGGGGGCATTGCAGGGAGACAGGCTGGGTTGAAAGCCACCTTCGGTCACTCACCCCCCATATTTATGCCTCAGTTTCCCCATCCACCACAAGATGTCCCCCACACAGGCAAATATGGAGGGCTCGCCAAACGGCCAGAAGTCCCTGCCGGGGGAGCTCCTCCTCCCAGGTCCATGTGTAGAGTCCCCCGCACCCCCAGCTGGGCCGGCCACTCACCCTGAGCCTGTGGTCGGGCAGCCTCGGCGGCAGGCGCTCCTGCGGGGTCAGTGGCTGGCCGGGCTCTCGCCGAGCTATGTGCGTTGGCCACCAGGTTCCGGGCAGAGCTGAAGCCAGGCAGGGACCCAAAGAAGCTGCCCAGGGTCTGCATTGGGGAGGGGGAGGTGTGCAGGATGAGCGGGCCAAGCCTCGGCAGGGACAGGGGTCGCAGGAAGCATTGATCAGCACAATGCCGCCCCAGCCCCTTGCTCCCAGGTGACCTCGGGAAAGTGTTTCAGCCACTCATCCTCAGTTTCCACACCTGGGCAATGGGCAGACTCAGCCTGCCTCCTGTCCGCAGAGGAAAAGATCGTCTACCTCATCTCCAAAGACCTTTTCCTTCCAGGACCTCCACTGCACAGATGGGGAAACTGAGGCTCAGAGAGGGGCAGAGCTGAGGCCGGCCCAAGGTCACGCGCTGGGGAAGGTGCCAAGGTCTGCGTGGGTCCCCCACCTCCAGCTTGGGTCAGGAAGGAAGGAAGGGGTTGGCATCATGGCTCCCAGAGCCGCCCCGCCAGCCCACCAAGGAAGCGCCTCTCCAGACGCGAGACCCCAGGACTGTGGAGGTCACCTTCCCTGACTCTGGGGCATCTCCAGGCCCCAGCAAGAATCTGCCCCCCGTTTCCTTTCTTTACCTTGCCCTTGGATTTGGGGGGATCTCGTCTCCCTTCGTCCGGAGCAGACATAGTGAGAATGTGAGAAGCTGGAAGGGGGCAGAGAAGGTGCGTGAATAGGGGTTCCCCAGCCTCCCATCCCACACCCACTCCTCCCGAGAGCCTCAGCAGCCCCCGACACCCACCTGCAGGCCTGGCCTTGCCCTGGTGTCACTGAAGCAGACGCGGCCCCGTTCACCTGGACTGCGCGGGGGTCCCCCTGAGGACGGACTGGCCCGGCTGGCAGCTGGCTCTGCCCTCGGCTCCCTGGCCTTATAGGGTCCAGGGCAGGCGCAGGCCCAGCCGGCAGGGGCAAGCGGCCAATGGGCCCCGGGGAGGCGGCCTGGACGGTCACGTGACCACCTGCCCAACCCAGTGTGGGCCCGGGCCCAGCACCTTTCCCCTGTTCCCTGCCCACAGCTTGCACCAGGCTGAGTGGCTCACAGGCCAGCTGGGCTCCCCTCCTGGACCCCCCTGAGGGACTGCCTGTGTGCCCATCCTGCCTCCAGTTCCATCCACAAGATGGGTATAGTTCAAATCCTCACTGTGCCAGGACGCCTTGACTCGTTACCATCTTTGTGCCTCAGTTTCCTCTCTCGTACTCTGCACCACGTCCCGTAGCGTCCAGCTTCCTTCTTCACTTGCTTCACCCCAGTCACACAGGCCTCCTCGCTGTGCCTCTAGCACACCTGGCACGGTCGTGCCTTAGGGCCTCTGCACGGGCCGTGCCCTCTGCCTGGAACACCTCCCCACAGGTTCCCACAGAACAGTGCCTGGCATACATTTGGTGCTTAATACACGTTTGGCACAGTAGAACAACACAGAGAGAGATTGTGAGCCTCTGTGAGATGAGGTCATGCACTGAACAAATGCTACCTTTGCGTTACCCAGGCAGAAGCAGGGTCTCAGGGTCTCTGCGAGGAGCAGAGGGTGTCCTCAGTGTGGAGGGGAGCCCGTCACTCTCCAGAAGGGACTTAGACCAAGATGGAGCACCAGCCAAGCTGGGGGCACCCTAGGAGTGAAAACCCAACCTGGGGGGCGTGGGCCAACCCAGGGAGGCTCCCTGGAGGAGGCGTCCTGTTCCAAAAAAAACTGGTGAGGACGGGATTCAAACCCAGACCCGGAACCTTCGTGCTGAGCCCAGCCTATGTGCTGGGCTGGCTGTGGGTGGGTGGGCAGAGGAATGGCTGTGACGCCCACCCTGGGCTGTGTCCCCCTCCTACCTGCCTCCGAGACAGGGTTCCTAGCCCTGTGTTATTGGGGGTGAGAGGGCAGACCCCATGGGTGGCTCTGGGCACTAGGCTGGGAGGAGGAAGGGTCCAGCCACAGGATCTGATGATTCCCAGGCCGTCTGTCTCCTTGGAGCCGACAGTGTGTTTGCTAAACAGTGGGGGAACAAAAGGGGGGGTGTCCCCCAACCTCTCCTACCAGCCAGTGCTTCCCAAGGGTGACTGGGAGAGCTCTGGGTGCCCCTCCCCTTCGCAAAGGGCGACCACAGCCCAGTGTGTGGGGAGAAAAAATAAATAAGTGATCATAAACATCCCAGCCAGGATCTGCCCCTCCTCTGCCCAGCACCCTCCATGGCTCCCACCTTCCCCGGGGTGGGAGCCAGGGGTCAAAGCCCAAGTCCCCCCTCCCTACAGCCCACTAGACCCTGCATAACCTGCCTCGTCCTGTCCCCACCTTCCCCTCCTCCTCCTCCTCACTCTGCTCCAGTAACACGGGCCTTTTCACTGTCCCCATAACACACCAGGATGGTGGAGTCCCTCAGAGACACACGTGACTGTGCCTGCTGAGCCCCTGACACCCTGCCTCAGGGCCTTCATGCAGGTTGTTGCTTTTGCCTCTAGCACCCTTTCTCACATCCCTCACCTCCTTCCAGATCTTTCCTCAAATATCACTTCCTCAAAGAGGCCTTCCTGGATCTCCCTTTAAAAAATATATACCTCAGGCCAGGTGCCATGGCTCAGTCTGTAATCCTAGCATTTAGGGAGACCCAGGCAGGAGGATTGGCTTGAGACCAGGAGTTTGAGACCAGCCTGGGTGACAGAGCGAGATCCACGTCTCAAACGAAAAATAAATAAATAAAATAAATTTACATATATTTATGTATATTTAAATATATATGTTTTTTCTTTTGAGACAGAGTCCTGCTCTGTCGCCCAGGCTGGAGTGCAATGGTGCCATCTCGGCTCACTGCAAGCTCCACCTCCTGGATTCATGCCGTTCTCCTGCCTCAGCCTCCCGAGTAGCTGGGACTACAGGCTCCCGCCACCACACCTGGCTACTTTTTTGTATTTTTAGTAGAGACAGGGTTTCACTGTGCTAGGCAGGATGGTCTCGATCTCCTGACCTCGTGATCCACCCACCTTGGCCTCCCAAAGTGCTGGAATTATAGGTGTGAGCCACCATACCCGGCCACCCAAAAAATATTTTTAAATAAAAATTAAACAAATTAATGGGCCAGGCACGGTGGTTCATGCCTGTAATCCCAGCACTTTGGGAGGCCAAGGCCGGTGGATCACCTGAGGTCAGGAGTTTGAGACCAGCCTGACCAACATGGCGAAACCCTATCTCCACTAAAAATACAAAAGTCAGCTGTGTGTGGTGGCACACGCCTGTAGTCCCAGCTACTCAGGAGGCTGAGGCAGGAGAATCACTTGAACCCGGGAGGTGGACGTTGCAGTGAGCTGAGATCACGCCACTGCACTCCAGCCTGGGTGACAGAGACAGACTCTGTCTCAATAAATAAATAAATAAATAAATCCCAGAGCTTAGCTCAACCCATTCTCTTTTCCTCACCTCTGCTCCAGTGAAACTGATTTCCCTACTGCTGTGCCTTTCCCTAAGCTGTTCCCTCTGTCAAAATGCTTATCCCTGTGTGTTGTTCTGATCATGCTCAACAGGCCTTGCCCTGCCAGGAGCCCCCAGCCTCATGTGGGAAAAGACGACAAGGCTGCCTGTCGTTATAAGTCAAGGTGGAAAGGGCAAGAAACCTTGAGAAGGTGACCTGTGGAGGACCGGAGGAGGGAGGTATCCAGCTGGGATAGAGCCCAGGAAGCCTTCCTGGAGGCGGCGGCATTGAGGCTGCGCCTTCAGGATGTATGAGATGTGTCCGAGGGACGGATAGGGGGTGGGAAGGGCATTCCAGGTGGTCACACAGCCTCAGCAAAGGCCTGGAGGTGGGAATGTGCCCACTTCCATGGGAGTAGAGCAAAGTATCCAGGTCAGGCTGGAGGAGGAAGCTGGAAGGTGAAGAGTTTGGTCTGTGGGCAGCGGGGACTTGTGGGAAGTTCCAGAACAGGAGCAGGGAGGTGGATTTGGCTGGTGGAAGTGGTCGGAGATCCCAGAGCCGCCCTCTGGACCATGTCCCAGGGAAGTCAGGGGCCACCCTGACCTCACCATACCACGCTATGGTTTCCTAACACCCCGCCCAGTCCCAGGGGAGTTGACGGAGCAGCCAGAAATGCGGTCAGAGGACAGGAGGGAACCCCCGAGACCAGCCCATGGCCCTTGCCCTGCCTCTGTCTTCCCATCCTGACCAGCGCAGCTGGAGAGACCACAGCAAGACCAGCTCCTGCAAGACCAGGAGGTGGGAAGACAGCTGCCCCATCTGACTCCTTCCCCTTCTGTTCCGCTCCCTGCAATTTCCACGAAATTCACCTGGACCAAGATGCGAACAGCTTCCATGCGACCGAAGGGGCGATGCTCTTGTTTATTTTTAGAGACAGGGTCTCGCTCTGTTGCCCAGACTGGAGCGGAGTGGTTACCGATCAAAGCTCACTGCAGCTTCAACATCCTGAGTTCGAGGGATCCTGCTGCCTCAGCCTCCTGAGTAGCTGGGGCACAGGCTCGCACCATGCCTATTTTTAAAATTTTTTGTAGAGACAAGGTCTCGCTATGTTGCCCAGGTTGGTGTCAAAACTCCTGGGCTCATACAATCCTCCCACCTCAGCCTCCCAAAGTGCTGGGATTACAGGTGTGAGCCATATGCCCGACTAATTTTTTTTTTTTTTTGAGACAGAGTCTCGCTCTGTCGCCCAGGCTGGAGTGCAGTGGCTGGATCTCAGCTCACTGCAAGCTCCGCCTCCCGGGTTTACGCCATTCTCCTGCCTCAGCCTCCCGAGTAGCTGGGACTACAGGCGCCCGCCACCACACCTGGCTACTTTTTTGTATTTTTAGTAGAGACAGGGTTTCACTGTGCTAGGCAGGATGGTCTCGATCTCCTGACCTCATGATCCGCCCGTCTCGGCCTCCCAAAGTGCTGGGATTACAGGCTTGAGCCACTGCGCCCGGCTGCCCAACTAGTTTTAAGTTGCAATGCTTACCCCACGTGGGCTAGGCAGTAATGATGGATCCCAGACAGGATGACAGGCAGGTCAGAGAAGCACCATTCTTCCAGATCTTGAACCCTGGCTCTACACAGCCCCTCCCTCTCCGTCTCTGCGGTGACACACCTCCGTGGCTCCCAGCCCCCTGGGACTGAGACCCACCCTGGCTAGAACACACATGGGCCTTTCAACAACAAAAACGACCTTTATTCTGGGGGCAAATCTCAAACAGCAAAGCAAGCGGGTGTGGCAGGCTGAGCAGCACAGCCCACGGGCATCTTCAGGGAACCCACCAGTCCAGGATGTAAAAACTGAGGGAGGAGGAGGACTCCCTTTTCCAAGTTCCAAATAGGGCAAAAGGTGTGTTTCCCTGAAAAGTACTTTTAAAAAAAATGTTTGAGACAAGGTCTTGCTCTGTCACCCAGGCAAGAGTGCAGGGGCCAGATCACGGCTGACTGCAGCCTCCAACTCCTGGGCTGAAGCAGTCTTCCCACCTTGGCCTCCCAAAGTGCTGTTATTACAGGCGTCAGCCACCACACCCAGTCAAGGCTCACTTTTCAAAGCCCCCAACAGCAGGCATTGGGCAAAATGTGTGTTTGTTTCTTGGGGAGGCTGTTATTATTATTTTTTAGTCTCGCTCTGTCACCCAGGCTGGTGTACAGTGGCGCAATCTCTGCTCACTGCAACCTCCCGCCTCTCGGGTTCAAGCAATTCTCCTGCCTCAGCCTCACAAGTAACTGGGACTACAGGTGCACACCACCACGCCTGGCTTTTTTTTTTTTTTTTTTTAATAGAGATGGGGTTTCATCATGTTGGCCAGGATGGTCTCGAACTCCTGACCTCAGATGATCCACCCGCCTCGGCCTCCCAAAGTGCTGAGATTAGAGGCATCAGCCACTGTGCCCAGCCTCTTGGAGAGGTTTGGATTAGCTTCATGGAGCCAGGGAGCAGGACATAGGTGAAGAACCCAGCTCGTGGCTCAAGCTGGCCTGAATTGGGTTCGAGGTCCTGCTCCCCGTGGGCCTGTAATGGCCCAGGTGCAAGGAAAAAATGGGAGAGTTTAATACCAAAAAGGTGGTCAGGGATCCTGAGTTGGGTCTGATTCTACAGAAGGGTCAAGGCCAAGACCTCGTGCTTACGTGTGGCCACCAGGGGGCAGCAGGGATCTGGGCATGCAGGTGGCCTTTCCTCCCAGCCTCCACTGGCCCATGTGGTCAGAAGTCCAGCTCGGGCATCAGGGTGTGCTTGACCGAGCAGCCGGGGGTTTCGGGTTCCTGCTCGCAGATGTCCCCGGCAACACCCATCCTGTCCCCATCACCATTCCCATCCCTGTGCTGGGCCTCCCAGGCTCTCTGCTGGGCCGGCCAGTCCAGGTGCGCCCAGCGGGGGTCAGGGCCCCCGATGACCTCATCCACCTGGTCCGCCAGGTCAGGCAGGGGCTCGGGTCGCTCCACAAGGATGGGTGCAAAGGGTCCCACCAGCCAGGGCAGCGGCACGGCCTGCACCACCAGCTCCAGCAGCTCATCCACGCAGGCGTGTGCACGGGCCACGCTACCCCGGCCCTCGGCCAGCACGGCTGCTGGCACATCCCCGAAGCAGCGGGCATCAGCGAAGGCAGTCTGCAGGGCGTCCACGCTGCGCCGCACCTCAGCCACCTTCTCCTGGGCGCTGGGGGGCAGGCCCCGCACACTGGACTCCAGTGCCTCTACCGTGCCCTGCAGCTCCTGCGTCAGGCTGCGGGACAGCATCAGCGTCTCCAGCTCTGCCTGCAGGGGGCAGGGACCTCAGTTTCCCCTATGGACGCCCAGGAGGACTGCTGTCCTGCCTCAGTTTCTCTGATGGACCTACAGTGGGGCTGTCAACCTGTCTCATAGACCTCATAGTCCTGTCCCCCATAGACACAGAATGTGACCCAGCCCTGCCTTGGTCTCCTTTATAAACACACAATGGGGCTGGGCGCGGTGGCTCACACCTGTAATCCCAGCACTTTGGGTGGCCAAGTCGGGCAGATCACCTGAGGTCAGGAGTTCAAGACTAGCCTGGTCAACATGGCAAAATCCCGTGTCTACCAAAAATACAAAAATTAGCCAAGTGTGGTGATGGGCGCCTGTAGTCCCAGCTACTCAGAAGGCTAAGACAGGAGAATCGCTTGAACCCGGGAGGCGGAGGTTGCAGTGAGCTGAGATCGCGCCACTGCACTCCAGCCTGGGCGACAGAGTGAGACTCCATCTCAAATAAATAATAAATAAAAATAAAGTGGGCTGGGCACAGTGGCTCAAGCCTGTAATCCCAACACTTCGGGAGGCTGAGACAGGCGGATCACAAGGTCAGGAGATCTAGACCATCCTGGCTAACCCAGTGAAACTGTCTCTACTAAAAAATACAAAAAACTAGCTGGGCGAGGTGGCGGCGCCTGTAGTCCCAGCTACTCGGGAGGCTGAGGCAGGAGAATGGCGTAAACCCAGGAGGCGGAGCTTGCAGTGAGCTGAGATCCGGCCACTGCACTCCAGCCCGGGGGACAGAGCCAGACTCCGTCTCAAAAAATAAATAAATAAATAAAGTGGAAGGTGGAGACATGGTTTCTAGGCTATAGGATCAGGGAGAGAATG